ATCCCAGCTGTCCCCTGGATTCCTACTTCTCAGGGGAGTCTCGAAACTTGCAAAAATGTCCTTTCTAGTTACCTTAGTTTATGTCATCTCCGTTCACCAAATTTTCTACTACATTTCGGTCCCTAACTTGCATCAGTAGGGTCTTGGCGACTCGAGGGTGGTTTTTGGTCTTGAAATAACACACATGCACCTCACACACTTCCTTCTACTTCTACTCCTTCTTCTTCTTCTCTTCCACCTCCATGTCGCGTACCAGGAATAGATCACTCCTCCCACTATAGTGCCGCACGCACTTGAGATCTTGTCTCCGTTAAGAGGTTGGTCTCCGACCACGATAGGTGTCCGGGGGAAATCGATTAGGTCTCTCCCTTGCCCGACCACCAGTTCCCCTTTCCCTCTCTCTCCCCAATCAGGCTTCCAAATTAGAAGGAAACTGTAATCGATTTTGTTAAATTCCCAAATCCTCAACCGTTGGATCTTTTCCCCAAACAATCTGGGTCGTTCGTTGCGCAATTGGATCTCGACTATTGGATCTTCCTCGAGCGATTTGGTCCATCCAATCTGATTACTTCCCCCTGCTGGCATGGGTTCCACGCAGGCGAACTCCATGCGTGTCCGCCACGCAGCGGGGCCCAATTGGGGCCGCAAACACATCTTACGCTAACATGTCTCGACATTTTGAATTTACAGAAAGCCTCAGTTTTGAAATTTTCTTTTCTTTTAGGTCCCTAGACCCCTTTTTAATTTTGAAAAAGCCCCAAGTTTTATGTTTTCATTTATTTGGGTCCTTAAACTCCTAATTTATTATTTTTAGGGTTTAGATTTAATTCTTTAGTTTTTCATGTTTATTTATAAATAAATTTACCATAATGAACCTTATTATTCTAATTTAATTTTTCTTTTGTCAAATTTTAAAAAAACTAAAAAAAAAAATTATTAATTTAACAATAAGGTTTTATTAACTAGAAATTCGAGTAAGGATGCAGCGTGTTGGATTAATTTTGTTGGATTTAAGATTCCTTCATCATCATTTCTTTTTTCTTTTCTTCTTTTTTCTTTTATCATTTTTGTTTTTTTATTCATTTTCTCAATTTTGTTTTAGTTTTCTTTCACTTTTTTTATTCATTTTTCTTTTATTTTTTTCGTTTAAGATACATTTATATAAACAAAAATTCAATATCCTTCATCGCGAGATTTAGGGTAAATATAACAACTTTCTATGATGAAATTTAAGATGAATGCACACACCATGGTGTTTTGCCGTATCAAGAGATTTAAGGCGATATTTCATTTGTATTTGTAGCTAATAGAATATTCTAGCTCTATAAATTCATCCAAATTTTTTTGTGTTTTCGTTCAATTTATTATTTATGCTTATTTACTTTTAATATCCTCATGTAAAAAATGTGAATTCTACATTTTCAAAGGCGAAATAAGCACAAAAAAGTCTCGCCTATAACGGAAAAGTTCCATAGCAAACAGGCAAATCATGTATGACATAGGCGTTACGGTGAGGCGTTGTAGCAAGAATCTGAAGAGTACCCATTAAGTTCTCGCTGCAACACTATAACACAACCGCTACAGCGCATGTAACAGAAGGTTCCATGCTGCAGCAAATAATTCTAATGCTGTAGCGAACGCAACAGAACACAAAGAAGTCGAAGCACCACAAAATAATGTTGCAGTGATGAAATTTTTGCTACATCGTAATTCCACCCAAAAAAAACAAAAAACAAAAAGGAAGAAAACCATCGGGATGTTTTGAGGACCTATTTTGTGGACACTATATAAAGGAAAAATATGTGTAAGCCTCTATAAGCAACACAGAAGGAAGAATACTTAGCCATATGATTTTCTCAACTAAGTTTTAGCTTTAGGTAGCCATCATTGAAATTTTTACAAGAAAGAATTTTTCAAGGAAGGCGAACAATCTAGTGCAGCTTTAACTTCATAAGAAAGATGACTTCAAAATCAAGTTTTTCTATTTTTCTTTGCTATTTTGTTATAATGAAAATAACATGGTAGTCTATTTGTTAATATTGTAATAAAAACCAAGCTCCTCCATGTTTTCTTCTTGTCGAACTTAAATTAATTTTCCTCAATGTCTATGAGAGGGCCAAAATGATGTTTCCACTGCTATTTTAATTGTTAGTTATAATTCAGGAACATAAAAGAAACATAAGAATTAAACATGAAAAGCACAAATTCAATTTCAAACAAGTAATAAAGTCACGATCAGGGTATGATACTTCTTGTTTATTTTTTTTTTTAATCCATCTTAAAACCGAAGCATGCCTTTTTACACACCAAAACCCAGAAGCTTCTCCTCTCTTCTTCTAAGCTATAACGAACCCAAACCTTCATCATTTGTCCAGAGCTTGATACAGTCTTCTCTCGGTCCGATCTCCTGCTGTGTGGCTCATCTTCTTCGCATGCCTCTCTCATCATCATCAGCTCTCTCCCAAAAGTTGCTAAGTTTCTTCCTTTATTTTTTCTCATTTCAGAAACCCGAAAGCCCTTTTTATGCAACCAAAAATCATGCAATTTAATCTGGTTTTTTGGATTTTGTTAGGTGGGTTAAGTGGGTCAACTAGACTGGGCTCTCTACTTTGGGATCTTATTGAAAACATACTTGGGTTTTAATTTAAGAAGAAGAAAGGGCTGTTTGGGCTTAAACTAGGCTTTGGCATTAAAATGATTTGGAAATGAAATTGGGCTTAGTTTTAAAATGGGCTATAAAATTATTGGGCTGTCTAATTTAAAAGGAGAATCTGATGAGTTTATCTTTTATCTTAAACGAATGGATTTGGGACTTGGGTTTTTCCTTGGTTCTTCTACTTCCTTTCTTTTTATTCTCCTCCTTACATTTTTTTACATTTTTCATTTTTATTTCTCTCTCTCTCTCTCTCTCTCTCTCTCTCTCTCTCTCTCTCTATAACCAAGATAATTAAAGTGTTATAAGGTCAATCCCAAATTTCCTTATATTTATCCAACTTATCATTTGAAAATCATTCCCGCCCTTCTTACCCAAATTGGTCTTTTTTCACATTGGTCTATTATACAGTATTATAATCAAATATCATTCTAATTTTGATATCATTTTTTACGGCTTCTCCAATAAAAATTAAACCAGTGAACTTGAGTTAAGATATCCTACTGATTTATTGGCATATATTTTCTTCAAAGCTTTTACAATCATTAATATCATCTCTCTCTCTCTCTCTCTCTCTCTCTATTAAGAGTGGTTGCACTTATGAAGTTAATCTCCTCAAAATGATTATGAGTTTTTCTTATCTAGTTTTTGAAGCTTATCCCAATTAATTGAATAAATTTTGTTAAACAAAAACAATTAGAGAATAAATCCAACTATATTCAAACTCTCTGAGAAATGATAAATCATCGAGTTTGAGTTTTTAACGTACTTAATCATCTTAATGTAATGACTTGTAAGGAAACAAATCCCATAATATTTAGTGAATTCAAACATTTTTAATTTTTGAGGAAATCCTACATCATGAACTACGCATAAAAGAGGACAAGCCAATTGTCTCTACATTCAATGCCCAATCTATCCTCACTCATTTTTACATGTAATTTCTTCTATCTTGATTGAGTTGAAAGACTAGGTGTGGGTATTATAACTTGAACTATATTAATTTATTTCCCTTTATTATTTAATTCTAATACCAAACGAATCAATATTTATGTTAAAACAAATTGAGTAGCATCATTAAGAGAAATAAATTTACTCAAAATTAATTATATTACTTCCTCCTTAGATTTTATTTTATGATAAGATACATTAATACTTTTTACAAGGGCATGGGTTTTTGTTTCTCCAAAGTGGGAATACATGTATTTTCTATAATTTAAGAGTTTACTGCTAGTAGATCATCATTTGTAATTTGTTCATATTTTTGCAGGCGCATTTATACAAGTCGTTCCCCGGTTCTGGATCACACACTTGTAGCACAAAGTCTTGTTTCCCTCAGCAGGCCATGGCAGAAGTAGCAGTTTCATCGAATGAATTAACCTCTCATTTTAAACCTAGAGTCCAGCAGCAAGAGTCTTGCCACCTTAATCAAGTCTGACCATACTGGCAAGAGTCCCATATCAATCTCCGAATTTAAAGACAGTATAAAGGTGATCGTATATACTCAAAGAGGAAATCATCACCAAGTAAATATGTCAATGTTAAACAAAAATTCACAACTTCAATTCCAGAAGAAGTAGAAAAAGTTAAAGATCTCCTGGTAGGAATAAAGAGTTGAAGCTTTGACTAGAGGGGTTGGTCCTTTTTTTAAAACAAATTTGGACAATTGCCTTTAGGTTCTGTTTAGCAAATCTTTTTTGGGTTTCTTCTTTATGAAGCACCATCTCTACTTATGAAAATTTGTCTTCAAAGATGTCTGTTTTATTTGTTTATGAGAATTTCTGTTTAATGATGTTTATTTTAATTTTTTTTTTTTTCCGAAAGTTTTTTATTGGAAGAAGCAAACTTGCTGCTTTGGGTCTCAAAGCAAAAAAAAAAAAAAATTCTTTTAAAAGAAGCAAGTTAAAATATTAATTACTAAATATATACATAATAATTCCAATAGCAAAAAAAAGCTAATATGTATTATATAAATATTAATAAAGTTGTTTAAATGTTATTTAAACTGCAGGTAAACATCCAAACTAGACAATATCCTAAAATCTACTAAAAAGGCAAGGTCGAGAGGAGAAAAACTTAATAAAGAATGTCAAAAATAGTGTATCTAGGCTTCAAATGGTCCGAATTCCTCCTCATTTTGATGCATCAAAAAAGTATTAAAATAGGTTGTAAAAGAAATTTGTTAAAAAAATGTGAGTGTTCGAAATGTCAAGCAAATCTGGAGAAACTTCTCTCAATTTCTGATCAACAATTAGAGCCTAGCGCTCAACTGATCCTACAATTGGTCTTCTAATTTGAAGACCAAGTAGGCTACTTTGAATCAGAAAAGGGCTTTCGATCAAGGAAGTTGGGACCAAACAGACTAAGCAACAGATATCATTTATCTTAACTAAATTCCATCGACATCTACATGTGATTTCTCTGGGTAACTTCAGCAGGAAGCATCGTCAAAACCTCATACACTTATGACTAACATTTTCGTAGTCAAATATCTAACACCATTTACAAGGTATCAATCCTATGGGTATAGAAAAGAATTTCGCCAACATACCGATGTGAATACAGTTCTGAAGAGACAGCAATAACACATGGATACAGCAACTTGTTTCGCATGGAAGCTTATTGTACTTCTTAGGAGACTTGTACAGGGAGATGAGATTGTTACTCTGGACATATTTCAATGAACACTGGCAACCTCCTCTTACTAGGGCCATAGAGAACATTGTGAATGTGTGCATCAATATATTCCTTTGATTGAGAATTTTCAGCATGATCCGGCAAGGTAACTTCAATATCATCATCTTGGGGTGACCAATAGCGCACGGTTATATTGGTGTTTTTGCTACCAAGTGGACAATTCAGAGGGGAGGACAAGGTAGAGGAGAGCATCTTTCTAATGTCTTTAAATTCAGAGATTGATATGGAGCTCTTGCCAGTATGGTCAAACTTGATTGAAGTGGCACGACTCTTGCTGCTGGGCTCAGGTTTCAAATGAGAGGTTAATTCATTCAATGAAACTGCTACTTCTGCCACAGCCTGCTGAGGGAAAGAAGACTTTGTGCTATAAGTGTATGGTCCAGAACCAGGGAACGACTTATATAAATGCGCCTGCAAAAATATGAAGAAATTACAAATGATCATCTACTAGCAGTAAAAGAAACAGAGAAAGCATTTAATGAAACAACAAATCAGAACTACTGAATGATTTAGCAACTGCGCCTGCGAAAAAATGAAGAAATTACCCAATGAAGATCTAGTAACGGTAAAAGAAACAAATTAAACATTTCATGGGACTAACCTCAGATTTGTTTCGGGAAGCAAAACGAGAAGGATGCAGCTCCTCTTTCCCATGTGCAAACTAGAGAACATACCATGTTCCATAAATTACCAACAATGAAAGATCTTTTAAAGTAACAGCTACTACTGAAGTTCCAAAATACATAAGAGACAGTGGAGCTGATGAAACTGATCCAACCCAAAACAAAAAGTAAAAAAAAAAAAACGAAGTACTCGGCCACTAAAGATCAGCAGAAGAAGGCAGTAAAGTAACTCGATAGTTATAACCAAAAAACCATTGAATTATATACTAGAATTTTAAAGTAAATTTAAAGAAAGAGACTAGTTACCTTAAGACTTTGAGCCACAAATAACAGTTTTATGTGAATATTTATCTTAAAGAAAATATAATCAAACAGCTTTCATTTATCTGGTCCAAATTTAGGATATATTTCCTGCCCAAGGTATAAGTGAAGTATCTTTGCACCAGATGATTTTTAACATGGTGCTTGCCCATACCAGAGCATTATTCGTTCATTCTCTTTCAATTTCCACGGCATACGGTTGTTCAAACTAGTGTGCCAATTGCATTACATATAGAAGCCTAACTTTTAACTCGCCGTTTGATCAGATTCATTCTTTATCTTATCAGTTTGGATGGCACGATATCCATTACTTCCAGTTTCCAGTGCTAACTCCATGTCCAATCACAAGAACGGGAAACTGGCGTATAGAGTTCTCAAGTCGATATCGCATTTAACAAATTGACAGTGTATCAGAGCATTCCGTTTGATCAGTTCAAAATGCAGGTAGTAAATAATTCCCAAAGTAGAGTAAATTGATCAAAGCAAATGATCGTTAACATTCGACTATTTTCGCTAGCCCTCGCATTACACAGTTAACAACTTGTTTTCATTTTCTTTTCTTCTTGAAGACGGAACAGAGATGTAACTAACCTGGCATTTTGATCCAAAGCGACAATGTCCAAGATCCTCCCAGGCCCTGCAAATCTCTACCTTATACAAAACGCTATTAGTCGAAGAGGAAGGCATAGATGACAAAGGAGATTCTGGTCCACAGAAACCCGAATCCGCACCCGACCTTGAAACCCTCCTTCCTGAAGCAACGGAGGCAACGAGAATGCCATCCACGGCCTCCAAGTTCTCGACAGCGGAAAGAGGCGAGAGTGACGATCTTCTCCCCGAAGGACCACCACTGAACTGAAACTTGACAGGGACTGGAGAAGCGGCCGCAGGAGAGTTGGAGCGAAAGTACTTGAGGATAGAGGAGTCTGCTTTAGTGAGATTGTCAGGTGAATAGGAATTTATTGAGGATATTGATTGGGGATGATGGAAACGGGCTCTTGGAATCATCAATGGCAGCACGTTGGCATTTAGGTTAGTCTGTTTGGGGATTTCAGGATTCTTCTTGTTGTAAAAAGAGTCCATGGAGACGGGATTCTGTTTGTGGACTTTTGGAGGCAAGACAATTTCAGAGCCGATACATCTATATATATCTATACACAACCCACGGGCCATCAAAGAAAAAATTAAAAAAAAAAAAAAAATTTAAAAATGTTTGGTAACGTGGTTTATGAGTCAACAAAACAAAATATGTGGTAACAGCATGTCTTGCTCCATTCTATCTCAAAAAATAAAAATAAATATAAACATATACATATATATATATATATATAATTAAGATCCTAAAAATACAGAAGGATAAATTATGCTTAATTTAGTGTAATTATAACTAGATATTTGTCTGTATAAATGCACGAATTATCAATTTAACAATTAAACTACATTAATTGTATTAGCATAAAATATTCATAAGACAAATAATTGTAAAAGATAAAAAAGAATATGTGTTGTAATATGTATTTTT